CGGCTTTGCCGCGCACGAGAGATCGGTGAAAGCAAGGCGGTATTTGAAATTAAGTCTTTTCAGTTTCCTTTTTTTTGAGAAATGATCAATGCATGATGTACGATACATGATCTTGTACGTACGATCGTTACACGCTCTGGAAATCGGAATTTGCACTTTACATATTGAAAAAAAATTAATTGAATTATCTTGAAATACGTACTTAATAACCACTGTTTGAAATACGAACAATCCATAATTTTGATTAAAGTAACTAAATAAATTTAGTTGCATATGTCCTGATTACAGTAACCAGACATATTTTCCGCTTTGCACACTCACACGTTGTGTACTATATTTTTATATTTTCTCACTGTGAAACCTGTGGTGAAAATTTAACCTAATTTAAATCGCCATTGCTTTTACTCAATATATCGTTATTGTATACTAAAATAATGGCTGGATTTAACACTATATAGTGTCAATTTGACACTATATGATATCAGATTGACATTATATAGTGTTAAATTTAACCATTGTTTTAGTATACAATAACGATATATTGAGTAGGAATAGTGGCCTTAAATTAAATTTTTGATAGTGTAGATTTAACAATGTAGTGTTTTATGCTTTGTTTTTATAGTACCGCAATAGCTAATACTCAATAAAAGTTAGTTATAGATATTCAGAGATACCAAAAAATTTGTTGTCATCGTATCGTGATTCATTGCTAATGTCAACGTTTCATGAACCTTGCCATTCACTTCACCAGAGGATCGCACTGATAATTCAAAGAATAGTTATAGATATTATAATGTCAATGTTGTCAAATTTATAGTTGCCGTAACTACATATCAGTTTTCTTTCAGTATTTCAATCATAATCATAAAATAGTTCGATGCAATGGTCAATAAAAAAGCAAATTGAAGGTAAAGATTTATTCTTTCAACTGCTATAAACCTCATTTTTGTGTGAGTTTTATTTTACGCCTATTTTAGATCTTTGTAAAGTTTGTACAAAGTTTTCAGATTTGAAGGATATTCATTTGTATCCACATAGCTCCGTAAAAAATCAGTCAAATTGAAATATCAATTACTGAATTTGAAAGTAGAGATTTTAACCTTTAAAATGTTTTTTTTTTTTTTTTTAAACAAATATACTGAGAAAAATTTTTGATTGAAAAATGAGCGAATCGGAAAATTGTCCATTGGTTTGTCCATTTTCAACTAGAATTCCAATCAATTCAATCACACTGTTTTTCGAATATATCTATTACATAAGCACTAATCAAATTCTAACCTAAATGTTGTATCGAAATATTTTTTTTTTTTACAATAATCAGAAATTCTGTTTACTGCCACCAAAATTTACTTAATCAAATATGTCTTGTTAAAATTAACTGTTATTATTTTTTTCCCGTGCATACATTATCTTACGAAACATTGGATGCATGCAGAGATCAAAATTGCTCTTACGTCGCACAATCATTAAAATATTTCGCGCCAGACTCATTTCCTAAATGTCGGGAGTGAGTTGTGTAACACGCGTTGGAGGTCGTGGCACGGAGGCGGAAAAATTGATTTTACAACGCGGAATCTATCGGTCACGGCACGGCGGCGCGGCATTTAACGTTGGCGACTGTGGATTTCTCTAATTATTTCGCTTTCACGCCCCGTCGCCGTTCATGTCCGCATTAATTTGTATATTCACTTGTCGGGACTAGCAAAGGGTGAATAAACGGGCCCTCGTTAACGTCGACTCGTTAAAACGACGATTAAATCACATCTGTCCGACGGAATTTGCGTGGAACGCGTGTAATCGCGAGCCGTGTAGATTAACAAGGTGAGAAATCCGCCCTTGATTAAATGAATAGTGAACTGGAAGGATAAATTCTCTTTTTAAGAATCTTTTATACGCGTGCCATTTCGAAGACGCGTTGCGTAATTTTCGCCATCAGTGATAAAATGAATAACCGCCGTAATCGTAAAGTGCAACGCGCGATAATATTCACGGTTTACTATTTTTTATTACAAAATCGTCTATCGTGAAGCACATTTCGTGTTCTACACGACCGGACGATATGCATTTGCAAGTACTTTATTCTGGCGATAGGACTCGAGTGATCGTCCAGATAAAGAACGTTCACAGGCAGCTTGCGTGGTCATGTGAGGTTTCATCAAGATTTTCGTGAACACGAAACGAGATTAGTCACGCGGATTAGAGCGCGCCTTTCGTGCCAGAAGAGAGACGGACACGAGGTACCGATTTGTTCTACTTACAGAACGTAGCGTGGACCCGAATGCACGTGTAGTTTTTCGTACGACGTCGACTTAAAGATCCGTGTCGCCGACATTATTTCGTTCCGTTTCGTTCCTTTTTATTGATTTCTCGTGCATAAACATTTTTTTTATGTTTCTATACAGCTGACATTCGTGACTCGAAATAATCACGGAATATAAGCGTAACTAATGATTAATTATGAATATTGAAAATTTAATGAAATCAAACTCAAAGAGTTGAAAACTTTTTATTATTAACAATTATGTGAAAAGAACACAAAAAAAACCAGTAGCAACTAAAGATAAATACAACAATTTATACAATTTTATACATAGAATTAATATAATAGTTGAATAAATATTTTATGTAAAATACTTTATTTATAACTATATATATATATATATATAATACATTAATTCTACATAAAAAACTTGTACAATTGTCATCTTTTTGTGCCATTATTATATTTTTCTCGGAGTGAAAACGTTAAAATGCATACATTTTTTTCTTTTGAAAAACTCATCTGAAAAAGAGTGATTAATCATTAGAAGATTTATCTTTAGAAGTATTACGTATTTATAAATCACAGGTGCTTTATCATATTCATAATGATTATCAAAGCTGCCATATTAATTATATATATGTCGTGTAATATTTGCTTTCCTTGATTTTATGAAGTCAACACGTTGGAACATTAATCTTTTATCAGATTATTTGAATATTCCGTGCATTGACATGAATGAGATAATTTAATGTCGTGGATCAATGTGAAATATAACTACAAAATGAAATTCCCGGTAAACAAGTTTAGAGTAAAAAAAGCTCAGGTCCAACACATTGATATTGTGAATTTACAACGAAAGATAATTTCGCCATTTCTCTATCGGCATGGTTTACGTTTTTTCCGATTTCACATCTTTCGTCCAAGTTCATCCGGGTTATCGGTGAAGATTGTACTTTTTTTGGGTCACTTTGTCATTTCGAGAAACTTCACTTTCTGTTTGCGATAACCAATTGGATTTGCATCTTTTGTGTGTCACATATAAAGAAATTCTAGGAAACTTCCAGAAAATCTGCTTTATTCTTTACATGGCATATAACACACTTAGATGATTCCGACGTTCGTAAAAGCTCGATCGAAAGCAGATTGCCGCGCGTCCCAAATAGATTTACCATAAGTACTCACGATTTTCTTCGTTAAAGAAATAAATTACGTTCAACACACTAAAAGCAGTCGAGAGGGAAGAGATGGGAGGACCGGGATTCTCAGCTTCAAAGGAAAAAAAAAAGTGCGGAACACCCGCCGTGGTTGCAATCTCCGAGATGCATTTTCGTCTGATGGTTCGCCGCTTCTCGCACACGTAGAAAATCCCATTTTGCACGGCGCACCTGCTGAGTGGCCACGCGAGATGGGCGACGAAGAACGCGTGTCGGAGGAGTCCGATTGTGATAACCGGAATAGCTTCTTCTGTAATCTCAAGGCCGCCGACACTTCGTCGCGCGACCTTTGACACCTCGATCGCGCTCGACCAGCGAGACACCTCCCGCGATATTCTCGCGAATACTCCTCTTCTTTCACCACGTTCACCTTGAGATACCAGAGGTATCTCTGCGAGGGGAAAGTATCCGGTTTTGTCGTTCCGCAAGATTCTTGATGTGTTTCCGCTGTAGTGTTTATCGCAAAGACTAATGCCGTTGGTTTTCTATGAAGTACCATCTGAAAATTTTGTAAACGTTCCCTTGTTTCATGATATACATTTTGAGAATTCATCGTCACTATAGCCATTTTCCGTAGCGCAAGCGGAAGCGCTTCGAAGATAACTAACAGAACAAATAGCGCGTACCCTATTATAGCATACACCTTGTATCTTAAATGCAAACATCACTTATGAGAACCTTTTAACCTCCTCCAACCTTTTTAATCCCCTTAGTTAACAGGAACAACCCACAGCCAGTAGCTTCTGAAGAAAGCGAGTCTTTGTAATACTCTTTATTGCATCATAAAAATGGAAAATGGAGGTTTAAAAAACGGTAATTGTTATCATGCATAAATTGCACGGTTTAGTATATTCAATGTCATATATAAATCTTCCGCATTGCTAGATAAAAACGCATAAAAGAGAATGCCATTGTTATAATGTACGCTTATTCTAATAAATCTCTTAGATTACCCGTAGTGACTATGCGTCGGGCACTTGCATTTCATCTTCACAGATAATTACGTATAACAATGACAAATAGACATCCTATTGAATTAGCAAACAATACTAGCTATTTTATTCTACTAATTTGTTACACGATACATAGAACGACACTTATGAGATTGCGATCTCTTAATTTTTGTAGGTTCATTTTAAGCTGGTTTTATTTAACCTGATCTTTATTCATTGAAAAGGGCAAAAAAGATGTTACTGCTAATAAATATATAACAATATATATTTTTTTACATAAAATTAAAATTAAACAACATTCAAACGTTTTAATCTCGCAAATCGAAATATTTGAATTGTTGTCTAAATTTCAATTTTATATAAAAAAAAAAATATTTAATAACGCTAATTTTTTGCACGATTCGTTTATCTTTTTTGATAAATATAAAACCCTTTTTAACAAATAAAAATTATTACATGTTTAGGATAGTGTCCATTATTACATGATTAAACAATTTTTAATTCACTGAGCCTCTGTAGATATTTGTTTTTTTTTGAAAAGATTTTTTTTTTTTTTCAGATTAAGAGAACTTTATACTAATTCGACAATCAGGATAAATAAATTTAGTCCAGTTTCCTCGATAATTTTGTATGTTTTATTGATTCATTATCAAATGCAGTACGTTCTCGCACGTATACTCCATTTTTTAAAATCTTTTGAATTTAATATGCAGTTTATATAGAGACTAATATAATTTTTTTGCTGCTCTAAATCGGAGATATGTTAAAACGCAGGTACGGGATGATGAACATTACGAAGAAATATTAATACACAACGAACGCGCGCGCGCACGTATTAATATTTAAAATTACATTTAAAAAAAAGCGTACTCTTTTTATATCGCTGTTTGTACTTCAATAAAAAATTTGAGGACAATATATTAGACGCATGTCCTTCATATGTAACTGTTGTCTTTTATGTAACAAGTATTTCGAATGTGTGATTGGTTGCGTGTATATGTGTGTCTTTGTATGTGTAGTTGCTGCGTTTATGATTGATTTATTAACATATGTATACTGTAATATTAAGAAACTTTTTAGACATTAATTAACAATAGGTAAAGCGTTACTGTTTATCGATAACGGTATTAAAGTTGCTCTCAATATAGTTGAAACGTATTTACTTACACATATTCTTTTTTTATGAATCTTTTTTATTACCATGTCAGATATATTAAAAAAGAAAATATATTTCATACAATCGGATTGTTTTGCGTGTCATTTGAATGATTCATTTAAGTACAGATTGTATTGATTTTACATTTTCTTTTCTTATAAGATAGAGGGTCTCGCTTGGAAAATATCTCGCTATGGAAATTGTTCGCTGCGATGACGACTTCGACGTCGTGAGAGATACGTCATAAGAAATGTAGTCGAATTGGACGAAGATCCGATTAAACGATCGTGATGGCGAACATGAATGATATATGAATGATTATTCGTAATCGGATTTTGTCGTTCGCTCGTATTTTCGTTTTTCTATCGAGAGACCCCTGAAATGAAGGGAAATCCTTCTCTTTTCGAGGCAAATATCTTGTCGCAAATATCTGCTACCTACATCTTCTTACAGCATCCTCGATAGGACCAAAAACACCAGCGACGCGATCAAATTCATCATTACTGCGGATGTCATCGTGGATGCGCTTGAGAGATTGAGTTGGTTTCTCAAGTCTTCTGGCACATCGAGATAGACCTTATCGGTTCCCAATTCTTTGATCAGTTTCGAAAGCTTCGCGACATCGACATAATCGTCCTTCAATGACCAGATTGTTAGGGTCGCATTACCGGTAATGGATGTTGTATTCTTCAATAACGCCTTCATACCATCGATATCATTCGTTGCAAGACCAGCTCGTACTGGATAAGTTACCGGCAGTTTGATATGGTTCTCTGTTACAACTTCGACCATCTTCTTGAGATGCTTCATGTTATATCGACCCTCGGTGATGTTGTATTCCTTTCCGTATCTAAAATGTTGATGAATTGCTGAATTTCTATCACACATCATGCCGTGAAAATTAAAATTAGCTTTTGATTGCTTTGTAATGAATGAATTAACATATAATGGATCTAACAAAAAAGAAATTCTCTTGTAATGAGAAAAAAAATTGTTTATTTAATTAAATTAATTATTTATTTGATTAAATTAATTTAGTTATCTTTATTTATTTCCTTGAGTAATATATACAAGTCAAATACAATATGTTTAACTTAAATATGTACATTTATCATCGAAAGAAATAAAGATGAGCTAAATTAATTTATTTAAATGAAACAAATTTTTTCTCAGTGCGTAAATGTGCTAAATATCTGTGCACATCATTATGTTTATAAAAGCATTATATTTTACTAAAATCTTGTAAATGCAAATAGTATAAATTATTTTTTTAGCTGTTAAATCTAAAAATTGTTTCTTTATTTTATTCAGCCAATTAAGATTTATGCTCAGTTCTATTTATCTTTTTTTAAAATTAGAAAAAAGTAAAGAATAAATTGAACAGAGAATAAAGTTAACATTACATTGGTGAAACCGAGCTGAAGCAATCTTGTTATAATATACGTCTCTAATATTGACGTGCATTCAATATATTTCATATTAGAACGCTCTAAGTTAAATTATCTCCTCTCTCAGGGACTTTATATTTATAACTCCTTTTTTTATAAGAGATCTTGTGCGGTGAAGGTCACATATATTTCTTTGCTTATACGGCTGATTAATTACAAGGTTGCATATTAGAAACTGCTGTTACTCTGTTCACGTTGATAGTGCATGTTAATAGTTGTTTACTTACTTGGTTGTCCAACCGATAGAGAGAATAGAGTTTGGTATTTTACTAGCTTCTGTCAGGAAATCTGTTGTGTTAATCAGAGGGTTAGTAGCATTGACTGGTCCACGAAGAATGTCTGCATTGAGGATAACTGGACACTTAAGCTGAACAAATAAATATATTTTTATTTATCATGTTGTAATTACATACATACTAAATAATTAAGCGATGCATTTATGAGTATACGCACGGATGGTTGAAACTTTCTAAGGATAGGCTTGCTGTTATTGAAAGCTTCATTAGACTTAAAATCCAGCTTGATGCCCTTGCTACCATTATTCACGTTGATATTGAGGAACTCTTCGAGCGATAGATCACTTTCCGTAGCTGGTGGATGCGCCATTATCGGGATTTTATCGGTGGTGGCATTGGTGGCGATATGTTTCCCCATTATGACGTCGCCCTCCAGCATCATGATATCCGCTTTAAAAAGGAAAGTCGGTTGTTCGTGAGTACGTGTGTTTGTGTGCGCGTGAGAGTGTGAGGCAGCAGCCTGGTTGAGACGACCGATTGGGCGGGAGGGTTCCAGGTATGTGCATACACGTGTGGCGAATATCGATCACGCCTAAAGAGGCTGGAAGACTGTCCGATCCATACATCCGCCAGTGCTAACACTCGAACGACCGAAAATTTTAGCTTTGCCAAGACCAAAAGCGCGGCGATAGACTCACGTTAGTTCAAGACTTATGGCACGAAGGAACGTTCGATGTCCCTTTGTAGGCATCCCTTTTTTGCAGGTATTAAAGTGACCATCGCGCTTTAAGGGAGATTTTTGCAGAGGATTTCGAATGAGGGATGAACATAATAAAAAAGACAGTGGGAGATTTATTAGAAACGTGCGATGGATATACAATCAACGTGACGGATTTTGGGTTTTAATACGATTTTCATCATTGAGGCGACGCGCTTAGTTGCTAAATTGAACAACGAAGGTCGAACTTCCGTTTGCGACCACTGGCTACCTTGATGTCTCATTGAGATTCAGCCGAGACACGGATGTGCTTTTCGAAAACTCCACGTCGAACGTGACTGTGTACAAATGACTTGCCTATGAAAGATCCAGTCATATATAGAGGTAGAAAATTTAAATTCGAGAGTTTCTTTTGGATCTTTTTTTCCAAGTGCAAAGTCGAAAGAAATTTCCGGTTATAAGGTAGTTATACTGCAACTTATACTGCATCCATCCTGAATCATGATATGAAATGCGCGCATGTCAGAGAGAAAGACGGCTGTCGAAAAATGTGAGATTAATCTCGATATGACTTATATTTTATACACGGAATCGCGCTTCGTGAAAGCGCTTGAAAGAAATCTCGGGGGATGCAGACATCACGATGTTGAAGCTTTTTCCTTGGCTGTCGATATTTCTGGATGCATACTTTTCAAGGACATCCCGCTATTATTTAAAGCACGCCGATATAAAAATACGCGCCATCGGATGCGGGTTGTGCATACAAAGACGCACACAATCGGACGATATTCATATATGGGAATATCCATGAAAGTGACAAAAGCAAAAAGCGGCCAACATTGAAGGCTAGAGTTGTGCAAAATGCCACGTAGTTCATTAACTAATAATACGTTGACGTCGCATAGAAGTCGATAGAAGTCGCAAACTCGTGGTAAATTAGCATTCTTTCAAAATGCGAACGTTTTCCTCGAAGTTACATTTCGACTGCATTTCTCATTATCAATATTAAGTATTTACCACGAGTCATTTGCAAATAGTTTTGTTTTAGATATCTAAATTGTTTCATATTACTGCAATTTCAGTTATTGTTTTTCGGTTAAATATCGTTAAGCTATATCACTGTCTGTTGGTGACATTGGCGATCATTTAAAAAATTTTATCGTACAACTTACTATTATCCTTCGCAATATTATTAATGTAAATAATGTTAATATTAATATTAACTCTCGAGTGGTTGTGTCGTGAAAGCAAATTTCGTTCGAAATAATGTCCACAGAAATTATCTCTCGAATGTCGACTTTTGTGTACATCGTTTTGCATTTAATATGAGATTGCAACGTTGCTTTATTCAAAATCTCCCAAGTTACAGATTTCGTCGGCAGAGCGGAAAATTGAATAAAAAGCGATGAAAAATAACATATATCATCCGCAGTATAAGTCCGCTCAATTATTAACGATACATGTTCACTCTCGACATGCAACGAACCATATTTAAATATCCAATTGAAATTTGAAGAGAAGCTAGCTTGATTTAAAATTAGTACTTTAATGATAATAATGTCTATTAGTATTCTGTCCCAAATCAAGTTTTTTTAAAATTCTTTTTTATCTAGATTTGAAGGAACATTTTACATTAAAGCCACGTCAAATATCTTTAAGAGAAACGTATGCAGTTTAATTTGAAGTTAGCTTAATTTAAAGCTAGTATTTTAATGACGTATAATTATGTCTATTAGTATTCTGTCCCAAATTAATTTTTTTACTCTCTTTTATGTATAGTTCAAAGAATCTTTTAATGAAACCACGCGTGTAGAAACGCGCGTAGAAATCTTCCAGACGATACCGACGTTTCCGGTACAGCTGTAGTATTTGAACACGCGATAGTAACCAGAGCAGCGTCGTTTGTCTCTCCATTTCTCGAGATACAGTAAACGAAGGACGAAAGGAAGCCCAGGTCGCGCTTCGTGAGTTGCAATCGCCGAACGACCTACCTGACGCGAGTGCTTTGTCCAATTCCGTCAAGCTGTTGACACCGTGTGCCCAAGTGATTTTCGTGAGATTGCCTTGGATATTGGGAAAGAACTCGCTTGGATAGCATATACTCGAGCAGTTGTTACACATGGCAGTCTCTGAAACATAAGAAACCCCATTGACTATTATTATCAGAGTCGTGTTTCACATTCGCGCGATAGACGGACTTGACCTTCCCTATCGATATCCTCGAAACCGCCCTGACCTATGATCCAATATTCGACTCGTGGTTCACTCCATAATTGAGCGAGAACTCGAGAATTCCTTGCGCGGCGCGGTGACCGTAAACGTAGACGACCGAGAACTCCATCTCTCTGCTCCTCCTATTATGCCGTTCGATCGATAATCACGTTCATTTGTCACGTTCGTTTCGAGAAGCTCCCAATCCAGCCAATAGCATTACAAAACCGTCGTAATCAATGAGAACGAATCCAAGAGATCATCTCGCTGAGAGCAACTGAGATATATTAGGTCTGTTTGCGTTGCTTGCACTTTTTGCTTTTTTTCTTCAACATCCGAATATATAGGGTGTCCGGTAAAGATCGTAACAGCGCTTAGATTCCTAAGATTATTTTGGGATATTCTAATACCAAAATGTCGAGATTATAATAGTTGTCAATTATAGCATTTAAAGTTAGCGAATTATATACCGCTTAAAGTTCGCGCGTTAAGATATACAAAACAAAATGCCAATCACACCTAAACGAACTTTAGGCGATACGATTCGCTAACTTTAAATGCTTATAATTAAAAAATTATTATAATCTTTGATATTAAGATTTTTGACTCAAAATGATCTCAAGAATGTATTCTTAAACGTTACTACGATCTCTATCATGATATCCCGTATATTTATTTCATATTAAGTAAGTCCAACAATTTTTGGGGATTTCAAGCAACACGAACAAGTCCATTATTTCTTAACTCTTTCGTGTTTTTTTGTTCTCTGCTTTAATTTGCTTGATAGCATGGATACATACAGAAGCAAGTTACATACAAAGCTGCGACCACATTAGTCAGAATGAATTAATAATGGAATTGCGTTGCAATTTATGTCGTTGCGCATTTGTGGAGAATTCCACAGTTCTTTTTCCCCTGTGGATTAGATCATTTCCGGTATATCTCAGGGGCCATGTGGCAAGCAAACTTTGCGCACGCCGAGTGACCTCTCTCGAGCAGATTGGTCTTCTCACCGAGTCTTTTTGACAGTATAATTTTTTATAAACAACCAACAACCGTTGCATCATGGGGGAAAATATGTTTAAAAACGAATTATGCTTTTATTTTTTAATTTTGCGAGAATTCTCACAGAAAAAGAAGAGAAGTTTCGCAATAAAATCATAATTATTAAGCCATTACTTTTTGGCTTTTATAAATATAAATTAAAAGAATTTCTTTCTGTTATCGTCAAGAAAGAAAATTATAACAAAAGTTTTGCAGACGCGTTATACTCGACAATGCCAGAGCGTCATTTAAAGTCTAATGCCGATATCGACTGTAGTAAGAAAGTTTCAGGCTAATCAGCTTACGATTGGAAGGCAGTGCTTGTTTCTTGTCTATTATCAGCTTGCAACTAAAGCATAAAAACTTTGCGACGATTCCTTTTTCAGGTTTTTTCCTACATAGTCCGCAGATTGGTATGATTAAATTACTAGGTATGCTCGTTAAGTTGTTCGAAATTTATTTTCTATAGACTTCTCTAAAAAAAAAAGTCTCATGAAAAATCGATAACCATACAGCCGCGCCGATGATTCTGGCTGATTCGTTTCTAGTCCAACGATCATGGGGTGAATCTAGATTCATCCTAAACAATAAAGACATGTTGAACCAATCTTTTTAAACATTAATAAGCATTTCGTACATTTCCGTTGCATTTTTTTATAGCTAATAATTGTCATTTAATTCATTAATACTACGAGTGTATATCTTCTCTCTTTTTCTCTTTTTTTCTAATCTATATATATATATATTTATAATTTATCTCAAGCCTGCCCAATTAAAAATTTTTATAAATAGATAGATTAGGTCTGTTCAATTTTAGCTGCGAAACTAAAATGCAAAGTCATCAATGCAAAAATGATAAATATGAGTAAGATTTCGGAGACTCTAAAGTGTTGATAAGCGTCGTTTAGACACGTTTTATAGTCCCCGAAATCTTACTCACATTGATTTTTGTTGCGTTGATGATTTTGCGTTTTGGCTCCGCAGCTAAAATTAAACAGATCTGATCTATCTCTTTATAAAAATTTTTAATGAACAAGAAGAATTTTGAAAACAATATACGTACAGAAACATCATTAAATTAAAAAATATTTTTATTATTTATAGGAGAGTTGTAGAGAGAATGCGCTACATAACAATAACGAGCTTAATTTACTTATGGAAGAACTGTTGTAAGTGAATTGCATTTGAACAATGACACAACAATGTACCATAATAAAGTTAGCGGGCACTCCCAGGTTAATGTAATGACGTTTCTACGGAGAGTTAATACCTTTATGTGTTTTAGACATACGATACTAAGAGAATGACTCAGCAAATAGTACTTGAATTGTTCACGCAATGACTTATTTTGAGTTACCTCGTTATCTATGTTTAGAGTAGCAATTTTTCGAATATTTTTTAAATATTCGAATTACTCGAAAAAAACATTGGATTTACCCGTACACTTTGTTCTTGCCAAAAATCTGAACTCTCCACTACATTCCAACAGCATATACATATCGCACCCATACATATCGCCGCTACAATGTCTTTGGAACGACCGTTTCCGGCCCGGCGATCTCACAGAGACCATACTGTGTTCAAACCGGTCTGACTATGGGGGAAAATCTTAAGCGGGTCTTCGTTTTTGTTACCAACGGTCGAGGTTCGCTCACGTGACCGAACGTTATGGGATCGAGGCAATTGAACTGACCTCGACCGAGCTCACACTGACATAAATTTCTGATTGAAAGTGAAACGAATTAGAAATTCTAATCAATCAGATTTCTAGTTATCTCAACTAGAATTATAATAGATTCAACCAGAAAATTATGTTGTCTATTTTCATTAGAATTTCAATTAATCAGCAATCAGATAGACTGTTTTTCGAAGCAAATTATTCGGTCGGATAGTTAGTTGTTTGTTCGTTCAAAATGCAATGTTTTGTAATAATAGGACACGTCATTGCATTACGTTTTCCGGGAACCATGTTTCTTCATATTAAAAGGAATATTCTACGTGAAAAGAATAAACATTTGTTTCAAAATATAATATAATGTGATATAAGCACATATATCAGATGTTACAAATATCTGATATATGATTATACTTCAATCATTATAAATATCTCGATATAACGGAGATTTCCAAATTTTTTTTCAATATATTATTATTTTCAATATATTATTCTCTTATTTATACTGATTTTTAAGAATTTACATTTTTATGGTATAAAATCTTAATTATAATTAAGATTTAATTCTTATATTAAATTCTTGCAAAATACTATAAAATATCCTCTTATAAGATTACATTTTGTGCTCTGTACTTGTTTATTAATTAATTTACTGAAACTGTCTTTGTCAAGCATTTTCATTTTTACAAAGTACACACTTTTTACAGTCTCGCAAGCTCACATTCTCTCTATTCAATTTTTCACATGTTCGATTACATATTTTTCTCGGTCATGTATACTGGAGATTCTTATTCATCATATTATAATTTATGCGATTTGCGTAAAATATAAATAAGAGGACATTAAATCCAATTTAAAAATTCAAAATTATTGAATTAAATCTTGAATCTATTATTTCATAATTTTCTAATTGCATAATCTATTACTTGTCTTTTTACTTAGCTTTATCTCTTATATGTCAGATGTGAAACTGTCAAGCTGTCAGATCAAGCTGCTTTTCTCAAATAAACAATCAAATAAACAAATGATACGACTTGCATACACCTTGAATACGTCCAAATTGATGCAACTTTATGTATCAAAATATTTACGTCACAACAAGTATTCGAAGTACCTTTATTAATCCGGAAGTGTACAACTTTTTAAATATTGCCGTCATACTATAATATACAATTTGCAACAAAACATACGCAACATGCTATGTTTGTTTATTTATAATATAATGTGCGCTACAATAAAATTTTTTTACAAATGGAAATATCCATTATATATTTGAAATAACGAATCAGTTTAAATTGAAAGTATAAATTCTGGTTGAGATTCATTGACTGATTTGAATTTTGAGACTAAATTCCTTATAGTAACGAATAATATTCGATAGTAGTACCGAAAGTAATAAGCAACAATTTTTTTTATAAATTATAATTTTTTATTATTGAAAAGCTACATTATTTTAATTTTCGGTCTTTTGTTTAGTTTTCTATAATCTTCATTTCTTTGTATATATCTTCGCCATTCTGGAATATTTCCTTGCGGTAGATCTCCGTTCGTATTCAAAGACAGTTATAGATTGTTATCCTGTAACGTTGGCCTTGCATCTAGTTTTTCACGAAAAAGATAGTAATCGATGAAGATCCTGCCAGGACTGTAAGAAAAAAGGAAGAATTTTCTACCGCGTTTTCTCGATTTTTAGTGAAATGGTCGCAGGAAGGTCGAGCATTGTGTTGTAGGACAATTTTCCCTGTAGGAGAACATTGGCGACAACATGCTTTGTGAAGCAGTGTCACTGATTTCAGGCAGCTGCAATGGAGTTTTATCGCAAGGCAATATTCAAGACTGGTGGAAAAAAAGTACATATAGAAATGAGAATTATGTAAAAAATTAATTAAAAAATCTGTAGATTAAGATGACACTTGGTTTTTAACAAGAATCTTAATTTATAAAAAAATGATTGCTTATTACTTTCAGTATGATCCTCGTATTTTGTGATGAGAATATATATTTACGTATAGAGAAATTATACGTTACAAAGAAAAGAAAAAAACGATATTCAACAAGGAAATAACCAATCGAGAAAATATAGAACTAATAGTTCTCTGTTAATATGAAACATGATAACGTGACAAGTATATTCTCCTATGAAGATTGGAAAATTACATATTCTAAAAAATAGCGATATCTGTATAGTTCTCATTGTATTGGAGGGGGAATCCTATTATTTTGACTAAAAACATGACAAAATTTGGGAATTTTTTTTTAAGAAATTAGTAAATCGATTCATGTAAAATTTCTATCATGTTTTTATTTATGTTTGAATAACTTCTAGTTTTTCTTTTATTAAATTTTAATAATAAATATGAAAGTTATTAATGATGGAATATGACGTCCCGCAAAGTTCGTCGTCCACTGAATGTGCACGATATTAATCTGAAACATAAAAATCAAACGACATATTATTTTATACATACATAATTTCAGTTTGATGAATTAAAATTAAAAAAAAAAAAAAAAAAAGATTTTTGCAGAATTGGTGAGTTTTCAACTTAGAACTATAAATTTTATTGTCAAAATTCGCCCATTTTTTTATTACATAAAGAATTATTTATTTAAATTATATAAATATTTTTTTAAAATTAAAAGAAAATGTGTAATTTATCAATATTCTGGTTCATCAAACGATAAAGTAATGTTTGCTGAACAGGCCAAATATAAAGATAATCAGTTGAGTAATTACAAAAATATCGTGCATACCACTCGCAAAAGTACTGTTTTGAGAAAACGGCATTTAAAGTTTTAAGTTTAATTTATGTAAATATATCAAGTACTTACATTTTATTTTTGCTACTCTGCTATCCCAGGGGCCTTTTAATAGTTCTTCCTCATCTTCATAGAAGTAATTTAGAACCGTCTGGTCGTTTCTTCATTTTATTCGAGCTTCTTTCGTAGTCTCAAGAGTCCGTCGCGTTGATATCGCGCGTTACAAAATATTTTGGCGTTTTCTCCTATAATTTCTATCATTGTCATAATTTTAATAATAGCATAAAAGCCTTCATTAAAAATTCCGGCTGCTAAATAAGCCGCGATTTTTCAATCATTTTTGCTCCACAATGAAGATGCTTAGGCGCGAATTGCCAGACTGTAGAGTTATAACTCTCATTATTATTTTGTGTTTCACCACCCAAATATCTTTCTATAACAATTCTCGTGATAACAAATCTTCGAAAATTGGCTTTATGGCTTGCTGAACATCTTCATGAAATAGTTCATGATCGAATTCATGAAGTGTTATTACTTTCGGCGCCATTTACAACTATTTGATCCCACTGGGCAATACATGCTATGGATTTTCATCTCTGTCGAGATCTAATATGTCGTGATAAAATATAGCCACACAGCATTGTACATGTCATTAACAGAATCTGGATGTCTTCTGATTGTTAATCTGTAATAAATCGTTAATTTTTGTATTAATTTATTAGTTAATTTATTTTTTCCTCCAAGTTTATGAGTTTTTTTTATATTTCTTAACCGTGAACCCATTTACTTCTCCACATATCCTACGCATTCTTTTTCCTTCATTTGTAAATCATCATCATAAGGATCATTGTCTAATAGAGCTATAAAAGTTTTAGAATCTCCATCACCAATGTAATAAGCATGCTTGACTTCCAACATTTGACGATTGAACATTTCTTTTATGGCGTCAACTTCTCAGCTGATCCATCATGATTTGCAGTACATTCTTCTGTGTGATTTTCTTTCCAAATTTCATATTCCGGAGTTTTAGATTTCTATAATTTATAAATATGACAATAAGCAGATTTTACAAGGAGATCAATCACTTTGTTTATATATTTTCCAATAAGTATCATGATTCCAAACAATGAACTGAAGCCTCTTTTCTTCCACGTTCCATTACCAGAAACAATTATCTCAGTTATTGATTTACCATTGTTCAGAATTTTTAATTTTTTCCTCTTCTACTTTTTTCTCAAAATATCAAAAATAGCTTTTGCTCCAATATAAATATTTTTCACAGCAGCATAGTACAAAGAGTTACTATCTTGAGATAAATCCATGAGGCCACAAAATAAATTTATATCTTCTCTATCAACGTCCAATCTCATGATGAATACAAATCTTCTATTTATATCATATGATTTATTGTCTATCGAAGGACAGGAATTTATATATTTTATATTACACTTGCATTGAACTGCTATTTTAAAACCTAAACCTCGAGCATTAGATTCACCGAAACTTGTTCTTTGCACTCTTAACAAATAACAAATTGAGAAATTGCAGTAAAGACCGCAACAAGAAAGCGATGATACAATAACCGTGACCTAAGTCCACTATAATTTCCTTGAGTTTTGGATCATTTTTCTGCTGATGTACTTGCAAATGAAGTATCCGTTTCCCGAGTGTGAATATTACCCGTGAATATTACCGTGAATTTTATTTTCTTTGGTCTGCTAGCACATTCATGCGTGTCCCGTGAATGTTTGCGATCCATTTCTTTATTTCCGTGTGCGTCAGTTTCACTCGGAGGTTAAACGACTACTGAAAATTTTATTGTTGAATAACACAACTATCCCTAGACTAACTTGACCTGACCCTTTGTACTAAAAACAAAACTGGAGCTGCCAGCCGTTAAAAATCTTATACCTGCGCTCAGCCAAGTGCTCGGTTGAGCACTCGATCAGTAATAGCTCATATCTCTAGAAGTTTTACAAATTTCGATACAAAATAGAGATATTCTTAAAATATTAAACTAACAGATTCCGTTAAAAAAATGATTTTTTTACCCAAAAAATGAGATTCCCCTTAATATGTAACGTGATAAAAGCGTATTCTTCTACGAAGATCGAAAAACTACTCATTCTAAAAAATAGTGATATCTGTATAGTTCTCATTGTTGGAGTTAATACCATTGATTTTAAATTCACACTATGGCGGTGTTGATATTAGGTAATACCAGACACCGCATGGATGTTAAATCCACACTGATAGTTTTTAGAATGTAGGAAATGAAATGATTATAAAATATTTCCTTCCTGTTCCGCGTGAAATTTTGTTTAAGACTTTCGATATTTGTAAACCGAACGTCGAATCTTATCATGTTCGTCTCATCGGAGAATGTCAAATGTCATGAACGGTATATCGGCTGTCTTTCAGCTGTGCAACGTTTCGAGCGACGCTTTATCGCGGTACGTATTTTCTTAGCTTGTACACCGATGTGACCTATCATAAGGATATGACGAGGATGCAGGGGATATTGAGTCGGGTTTCTAGCCCCGCGAACGAGCATCATCGACGTGGCCGCCTTTCGCGATACAAGAGAATCCGATGCCCGCGTAGGCTGATAAAAGCATCTTTCACGCGTCACTACGCCCCGCAGAGTTTGCAAATAACCGCGACTACTGCCGATCTCTCTTCCGTTTAAAACACGCTTTCGATGGCTCGAATTGTTTCGCCGGCGAGGCGGATCCCGAGAGCGGGTTTTGCCTTACAATTATAGTCAGCCGGCTGACAAAGCGTGACTTATGGCCGCGTTTTACCGCGGAACTTAAGTCTCGATTAAGGTGAGAATCGACCGATTGAGAACAGCAATTTGGAACTTCGAACGAAATTTGATATCTCGGATTTGCGTAACGGAATTTCGCGTCAGCTAGTTTAGTTCTTTATGGAGAATCACATTAGGTCGCGAATTATCTAAAACTTTCATGAGAATTAAAAACTTTTTTGATGTATCCGGTATTTCTAATCTTTGTAAATGGAAAACAGAAAAAAGTCATATAGCTTTTTAATTTTTATCTTTAAATTGTATTCTTCGAAATCAATGTATTTAAATTCTCGATTTTAAATAATTGTTCATATAATATGGCAATCGATGACTCAATCGATATTTGATTACCTTCCAAGACGAGAAATAAAGTTTCAGGTATTAAAGATCATTATAAACTGTATAATGTGTGATTATTATATTAAGATAAGTGTTCTGGCATCAACAAGAAGTACAAATAAGACGAATTCTGATCATATGAATCAGAATTTTGGGTTTTATCGCAATTGAATGTATGGTTATCTCGACTAGAATGTTTGATAGATTTACCTGTAAGAATCCGATTTGTATCTGTCTGGTTGAATCTGGAAAAATTCTAATTAATGCAACAAGATTTTTTTTTAAATATAATTCCATGACACAAACTGTTAATCAAGGAATGATTTATGTATGTCATGAGACCACACAAATGTAATATTAAATTGATGATAAACGAATAACACATACTGTACGATGAATAGCTGACTTGTCTCACTTCGAGCTGTTTAAACTGACAAGTATATATTTTTAAGTAAAGTGTGATATATCGCGCGTCCTTCTCTAATGTCCATTTCTATTAATGTAGACTTTATCTCGATTTTACTTACTGTTTATCTTTTTCTAGTTCTAAGAATAAGAAAAAGATAAAGATGAGTTAAATAAAGATGAAAGTTAATTTATTTTAATAAAAATGAAATTTAATTATTCCAACATTTATCGAATTTTTTCGCGCAAGATTCTGATAGCATCAGAAGTACTTTGGCATCAGCAGATATTAACTGTGATTAATATGCATTCGCAACTACAATGAACTTCAATGCAACGTTTTGCGAATTTACGCGACACAATGTATTCAATACTGTTGTAGAGTAACACGACGAATACTAATTTAACTTGCAGATACATCGATTGATTTTCGGAGTACATGCTGTGTCCTGTATATGCTTGCATATTGTAATGTTAATATAATACTTCATGCTTGTATCATATTGTAATGTTAATATAATACAAAAATTAAAATAAGAAATATTTGTAATCGATCGACTAAGACTAAACAAAAAATTTTGGTTGTTGATTTCGAATGTAAAAGTTTGATAAAGTTTTTAGAATTTGACCTCGGACACGTGTAGGATATTGATATCGTGTTTGATATTAAATCTCACTTTATCAAATAATCCGATTAATTATGTAAGAGATGATTACTCGACAAATTCAAACGTTATACACGCGTAATAATAAATTCAATGATTCTTTTTCGATTGCAACTAGATGGAAATCGAGACAGTACGGATAATTTAACATTAAATCATTTTTACCTTGTATGCAAAAAATAGAAAAAAATTTATTTTTTTTCTATTATATATATTATAGATTATATTGAATAAATTCACATTTCATCGTTTTACTGTTGCACTGTTTAAATAAGCTTGCATAAAAGGAGCATTTAAAACATTTTTATATTTTTTTCTAAAGAATCTTTTTGTTCAATGATCCATACCGGTTCTCACGCAACGATTGCGTTCTGATTTCAATAGTTTACGCTCGAGCGTAGATTCACATAATCGATTCGTTAACGTTGCTAAAGTCAATGACCGTATTTATGAAGCCGGAGAAAATTTCCAATCTATATCTCAGTCGAATTCATGTCGGCTCGGACACGCTCGTCAGATACAGGGAGAAGTGCAAATGTACCACTTGCACTATAGCTGCAGCATACAGTCAAACGATGAGTGCTCTGCTTCGCTTATCACGGATAAATACGTTTTTATCAGAGCAGTTTTTTCCATTTCATGTAGATTGTATTATTTCGAGCGAGTTCTATGCAGGTAACGTTAAATGACGATATCACGACTAATGACTCACGATTCCTTTGCTTCAGATAAGAATGAAATTCTGTCTTCATGCCTATAGATATCTCTACATACAAAATGTATTTCCTTTATCGATGATTAATGATAAAAAATGAATCAATGAATAAATTATAATATAGTCACGTGATACTAAAAAGATTTTATTCTATTTCGGATAAGTATTCCTTGATAATTAATTTGCAAAGAATTCAGGAGTTTAAACATCGTGTCGTGAAATTCCTTTACAACACGCTACGTAAAAATAACATCGCAATCCAATGTTGAGATTTGTTGTGCCTTTCTTCGTTGTTTAGCGTCTTGATATAATAATATTATTTACGACGATTGTATTCCCTCCATTCACTTTGTATAATCAATGACCAAAGCAATTTTTGTTTCTCATCATTGTTAGTAAATGTGTTTTGCTGTTATAACGAAATGTAATATGCGAACATTTAATGTTATCATTTCTACGTTGATGTTTATACCTGCGCAAGTATAACCATCATGGCTTGCGACACGTAATAAATTAATATTGTTTGTGAATTATTTATAATTATAATGTTGAGACATTTATTATAGTACAGATCATAACGAGATTTCCGCTCGAAACGAGCATTTTTTAATCGAGCGTTTTGAAATCGTGTACAATTGTCTTGAGTTGTAAATTTAACAAATATATGCAAGATTAATAAACAGTTAAATTATTGTAATTGCCACCTAGCTGCTTATTCTGTTTATTATTTATTTTTATAACGAGAGACATCACTAAAGTTTTAATCTTTTCTACACTACTATTAATAATTTTATAAATAATATTAAGTTATATCCAATTTGAATTTTTTAAAATTATTTCTATAAGTCACCATTGCTCCTAATCTGTACATTATTAATTTAATAGACTAAAATAATGGAATTAAACAATTTAATTAAAAAAAATATATTAAATTTCATTTAAATTTCATTTATTATTTCCTAACTGCATACACTAAACGTTGTAAATACAACTACACGTGAACGTTGTTTACTTCAAAATTAATCACAGAAATGACTTGATTTACATTTTGATACGCATAAGTTCAAAATTAACAAACTGCTATGTAACGCAAGGAATCAGATTACCATTGCTCCTTTGATTTTTAACAATATATTCAAGTAAAAAAATATCTAGATAAAACTGGTTACTATGTCCAGAAATTTTTTACCATTTTGAATTTACTGTAACTATCCACAGTAAGTGGTCAGAAAATATTGGTTGGGAAGAACCGGTTAAACAAATAGCTAGAAACTAGCCAGGTCGAAACTAAAATAAATGATAACTCAGTAAATGATAACTATAATACGCTAATTGTTCGCGTGTGTCACGCGGCTTTTTTATCGGTAGTGTCCTCGAAAAAAGTATACATATTCTTCGGTCTTAAAGAAAAACATCCTATTTTTATACGGTAACTTACGTTTTTCATTATTGCGTTGCTTTGAAATTTTGCGATCGAAATTTCCGACTAGAAGAAATTACACCAGCCTTGTTATTTTTATATCTTCCTGTGCGCTTACCGCATAAACCGCGGGCGTACAGGACAAGCAAAGGTGTGCTAAAAACAGTTTATTTTCGTACTATTTTTGCACGATATGTAAGTTACATGCCACCATCGCCATGGTCACGGCGTTAATCTATTTTTGCGGACGCTTTATAAGCAACAGTCATGTTAGCTATCGGATCGTATGCTTTGAGAGTACCAATTGCCCTCCCTTCTAGCGACAGGTGTTGACACAACGAGAAAATGTATTTGAAAAATATTTGTTCTCACTTGAATAGCAAACGATTACGTAATTGTTTCGTTGACAGATCAGTCGATTTGCATCAGAAATGAGAGACAAGCATTTTCTCGGAGAGGAAACAAGAAATTGAAACAACAAAACGAAGAAATTGAAAAAAAATATGTAATAAATGTCTTATGACCTACTTACATATATGGAGATAAAAGCAGAAAGAAACGGACGGAAGGAAGCGACGCGCGTCAGTCGTTCACGGTAAATATTGTCTCTATGTGTGTGTCCCGGGATTAATTGTACCTCTCTTGCGCAATTGAGCAACGGGTAAAATTAAGGGCTAATTTAATGTAAGATGCTAAAGGCTGATCGAGCATGCGGATATATATGTCGACCGATGTGCGTCACCGTAGAGATTATTATTAGCGATCGATTGAGAGACGGATTGAGATGAAGAGGATATATTATATGTCATCGTTTTACTTCTTTTAAATCCTATAAACTATTCTCTCAGTTTGCAAGAGTTAATACGGCAAAAATTAAATTCATCTCTCGAGAAATCCTGTTATGATGTAACAGCAGATAGCTGTGTGAGTGAAAGAAAATTTACGAGGATAATACACTGAAAAGAAATGTACTAAACTTTAATAAATACTTATTTGAAAATAGTGCCAACTAAACATTTACTTACAGTAAATAAATAATTAATCAATAAAAAAATTATTATTAAATTAAATTAATGATTCTTGCATCAAATGAATACATCATTATATTTAGTAAATATTAATTGGTACTATTTAAATAAACGATTTACTAAAATTTAGAATATTTCTTTTCAATCTTTCGAAAGTGAGCAACAATTAGGATTTTTTAAATTAAAAAACCAATGTCATTTTAATCTACAATCTTTTATTTTTTTTACATAATCCCTTTTCTTATACATTTCTTTCTCACTATTCTAAAAGTTTGAATGTTCTCTTGCGGTGGAACTCTGTTTTCTTCCGACGACAGTGGCGCTATTTTATGGATGGATTGCCTCCATCATTTCATAACGTTGGCCAACCTTCTCTTGGAAGGAAGATCATCCTGCAACACTAATACTCGGTCCCAACTTCGTTCATTGACCTCACACAAAATTGAGAAAATGGGGTAGGAAATTCTTTCTTATCCCTCCTACAGTCTCGCTTCGGCACCCTCAGATTACCTTCTTCGGTTTAGTGAAGGATGTAAGGCCAACGATACAACCACAAAGCAGTGCATCACTTCGTTAGCAGTTAGGACGAAAGGAAATTTTCTACAACGGAATATTCAAACTTCCAGAATGGCGAGAAAAATATATATGAAGAAATGGGATTAAAATATTAAATTAATTAAATTAAAATGTAGATTAAAATGGTTTGCTTGGTTTTCTAATAACATAAAATTTCAATTTATAAAAAAAAACTGTTTATTACTTTCGATTTGACCCTCTTAATTGATTACAATCGGCGTTAACTGAAGTTGCTGCCATTATTCCTTTCAGACCTCGTTATTGTATTCCATAATCTCTCGCTCTGCTTATCTCTAATTGAGGCAATGTATATCGCAAGCTAATCAAAACTGCAAAACTTTCTGTTCTGCGTGAAGAAATAGCTTTCCATTGAAATTATTCATTTGCTCGTCGCGACGTCGAACATGCCAAGATATTTGAATCGACGTGATCTATAAAAAGCTTCGGTCGTAAAGTCACGATCCGCTGAGCGATTCGCTCGTCCAGATTTACAATGATCCACATCGATTTCATTGTCTCGTCGTGGGAGAATTTTTCGAACTTTATCTGATTTCCACTTGTAAAATTGAACAGAGCAGTGATGCGCAACTGCGACCTGCTTGTGAATTTTTAATAATCCGCCTCATAATCGAAAATATAAAATAACATTTTCTATTTTTTACAAACAAAAAATGAACATTATGCGATCTGCAAGATTTGATCTATTTCTGAAAATGATTGTTAAAAAAATGGCTCTTTGAAAATGACTCACTAAAAGGTTGCGCATCACTGAAAAGAATTCCGAACACAGGACTACGTCAAAGTGTCGGCTTTGAAAACTCCACCCAACTTCCCCCGAACGTAAACTTTACCTTACTCACACGACTTAACACTCGGAGAAGCTCTTTCTTCTGATAGACAGGCGAAGAGAAGCAGCGCGACAAAAAAAGAAAATCGATACGTCTATTAGAGGAACGTTTGGTTTTTCGATGAGGCGAGGCCACGTTTTACGACGTCGCGGTCGAGAAAGATACTCCAGATCTCGATATCACGATCTGCTGAGTGTCAGACTCAGTAACCGTCGTACAGGATGCGGCTTTAAAATAGGATCGATACACAACGTTCGGTTTTGCGGAGCTATGTTTCGAATTGCTTGCCAGCGACTAAGATCATTCTCGCACGGTGATTTATGTTCTCCTGCCTGAACGTAACGGCTGTTATGTTCTAACATAAGCGAACTGTCAACAAACTAGGTTTGCTTCACATATATTGTCGCTTGAGACCGAGAAATATATCTAATATATTTCTACGAACATTCATCTCAATAATATTTCTAATTATCGGATTAACGTATAAAATACTGTTTCTACTCAGAATAATAAATGAAGCTCTGGCTTTAATAATATATTATCGCATATATCTCTCAATATTTTCTTAACAAATAAAATAACACGAGTTTAAATTATTCGCTAATAACTGACTCCAAAAAAAAGCGACCTTTGTCCCACAATAAAAATCCGTCATTTATTTTTGGAGCACGACATTTACCCCTTTCCTCACGGAAATCTAATACTAGCTGATTGTCTCGAAAGACATCAATTAATTACTTATTTGGAGCACCAACCAATATTGCTTTTAATACTTAAAATAAATAATTAATTATCGTCTTTTAGTACTTTTATTCGCCAGTATTAGATTTGTTTAAAGATTCACGGAAAAACGTCTCGTTCGAATACGTCTCAGTTCTGTTCTAAACGTATTATAAAACGGCTACGTTCAACTTACGGATCACCGCCAGCAGTACAATCGTCAGAATCGTGGTGTTCGCCATGGTTCTCGTCCTCGAAATTTCGATGGGGTGACTAACAAAGGAAGGGACGGGCAGAGAGAGAAATGATGGTTTCAGAGAGAGATAGAAAGACACACAGCCCGGAGAACGACGCGGCTTTCCACGGCTCTCGACCCGGTCAACTCGGCAGCCTCGAAACGACTGACTTGACTGTCTCTACAGGAGCGGGAGCACGAGCGGTCGACCGATCGTCGAAATCCAGGCGCGCGTAATGGCACGTACATACCGTCGGTCATATTTCGCGGCGCTGCAACGCCGCGCCGGCACACACGTGCTTTTGCCGCCATATCTCCGGGGGAGAGGGGAGGGGCGGGGCGGGAAGGGCCTTGTCTCGAAGCCGCGAATCGCTAAACGCGTACGGGGAACGACAACAGGGGAAAGGGCGCGGAACGCAGGCGGAAGGGTGACGCACGAATAGTCGATTCGAGATGCAAGGGTTACGAAGGATTCTCATTACGACGGTTCTTATCGCGGCCTCGATGCCGCGCGGGATTTCCGCGTAGGACGTTCAAGGTAGATCGTCGCCGACGTCGTACTTGCGCAATTGGAAGGGAGAACGTGCTATTGCGGAAATATCGAGCCTGCAGACAGGTAGACCGCTTGTCACGCGGATGCTATGAACGTGAATATCTACATCCGAGGGTTGAAAACGCTCTCTGTAACAGAAGAAAAACAAGATCCGGTTTTTCTTTTTCCGGACACCCTTTCACTGTCCGTTGAACTGGAGATTCTCGACAGCGGTTTGAACACCATTTAGACAATTTTTGATTGGTCCATTTGGTCCGCCATGTTCAGGGCGGTGTTTAAAATGATAGAATGAGATAGAGAAAATGATAGAATGAGTTAGAATAAGATGCATAGATATCTTATTCTACCTTAAAGTCCGCCTTTGGTCCGCCATATTCAAGGTATTTCAATATTTTTGAACGGTGCCCACCTTCTTTTACCTGAGGATGTCTACGTCGTTGGACAATACGTTGAATGTATCGGCTTAATCCTATTCCATATAAGTGAAATAGAAAATCATGTGACTAACATAAATATGCATATTCTGTAATAGAAAAGAAAGTAACAATTAAAAAAAAATCACCTGACGCAATTGCAAATTTATATATCTTTCCTGTTGTATACAACGCGCAAAGCATGAAAATAAAATACTTTTTAATGTAGCGCATTAAATTTAATTAAACCGTGTATGCGATATGTATTTCATTTACGGTTATTAAGTAATTTAAATAATTATTTCGTTCTGATTATTGTTATTATAATGCTGTTGCAACAAGCAACACTCCCAGATTCATATTGTATGATAAAAAAGTAAGAGCTGTATTTAAAAAATCAAATGTACTGTAATTTATATTAATATTTCCTGTTGTATGAAATGTATAAAGCATATCTTGAAATACTTTGTAATGTACGATAACAACATAATCTAAAGTAAATAATCGTGCATGTATTTAATTTACGATTATTAAATAATTTAAGTAATCATATTATCCTCATTGTTGTTATTATAATACTATTGTGATAAGCAATACTCCCAGATAGCATATTATGCAATGGAAAAGAAAGCTGTATTAAAAAAATCACTTGTACGGTTGCAATCTATAAAGTCTTTTGTGTTATATATAATATATAAAGCATATCTTGAAATATCTTTTAATATATTGTAACATGACGTAATTAAAGTAAATGATGTATGTATCTATTTCATTTGCGATTATTAAATAATTTAAATAATCATGTTGTCTGATTATTGCTGTTATAAGGCTGCTGCAATATTCTCAAGCGTAAATGAAATTTGTGTGAGAACTTCGAAAACACGAGAAATCGATCAAACAATAAAAGCTTTAATCAATCGCGATGATAAGTACATTTTATTAACAGCACATTCAATTAGGCGACGCATTAAAAGCGTCACCCTTACATGACTTAATCGATTAAAGTTTTGATGGGGTTTCTGAAAGGACAGGAGTCCAACAGTTTGCGCGTTATAAGCACAATAAAATGTTCGCGTTGTTATCACATGTTGTTTTACGCCATATAGTTCCCTGTGGCTACGCCTAACATGTGTTCGGGTACAGAATCCATAAATGCAATGGGGGTCATTCTTGGCTCCTTGCGCTGCATGGTGGGGTAAAACATCTGCCGAGGGTTCACAACCGAAAGGAATAAGAGCGTTTTCAGCATCGATCTGATAAAACTTTCAAAATTTACCAAAATTTTCGAATCTGTGTCATATCTGGAGACACGATAGTGTCTCAGTTTTCTTTTAAGCTGTGTAACTTCTTTCATTAAATATACAAACGTAGAACAAAAAAGAATATATATATGTATATATATAT